GCCAGTCGGGTCCCAGGAAGTCCTCAGATAGGAACCGGGGCCTGTTTGCAGTGTGGGAGGGGGTGGCTTCTCAGGGGCTGAGTTTGCCCTTTTCCCCTCCCCCCTGCCTCCTACCTCCAGCGGGGGTGGGCCGGCTCTTCTCTGGACTTTCTCAGTCCCTTTGTTTTGCGAACCGCGGGCAGTGTGTTCGGGCCGGTTAATTTTGTCCCTTGCTATCCCGCAGTTTAAAAAAAGCTCCCTCTGATTGCTCTCAGGGTCTTCGGGCCGGTCCTTACCCTAAGCAATGCCGCCCGCTCCTCTCCGTTCCGCCCCCGCTTGTTGCTGGCGGGTGCGGGCGTCTGGGGTACTTTTCTGCTGGGAGTTGCTTTTAGGCACGTAATCTATGGGCCTTATTTAATTTTTCCTCCCAGTTAGATTGCCGAAAACTTCCCCCAGTCCCGCCAGTGCGAGGGTTTCCTGGTGATTGGAAACTTCCTCTATTAAGACTCCCTTCCCAGGACGGGTCTCTGTCTGTAGCTCTTTGACTCCCTTTTTATCTTTTATATTTTGTCCTACCTCCCTTCGAAGACAATGGGCTGCTTTTCTGGGCGCCTGATGTCCTCTGCTAGCAATCAGAAGTTGTTCTGTGAAATTTGCTCAGCGTTCAAATGTTCTTTCGATGAATTTGTAGGAGAGAAAGTGGTCTCCCCGTCCTATTCCTCCGCCATCTTGGCTCCTCCTCCCAGGAAATGACCTTTGTATAACAGGTAATCTCCATGCACTAGATTTTGCCCATGAGTACAACTGGATGGTGTCAAACTATCTGTTTCTATTTATCTTTACCATTGCCATGACTTGTGCTACTTCTTTGTATATTTTTGCTTTCAAATCTGAAGACCTAGTTTAGGGATAAATACTCCTGTCATTGTGAGTACTAGCCTAAGACAAGAAAAGTGCCTTGTCTGTTTTTTTAGTTTCTGTTTTCAAGGGCTGACTTATTTTAATCAAGAACAGTTTTAAGTTCCTGGATTCACAACCCTTAAGCAAATTTTTAGAAAGTGTTATCCTCAATTTGTAAAAAATTGGTATCTAAAAGACTCTGCCCCTGGGACAGTAGAAAGAAGAATGACTACATCCTTGGAGAAATGAGCTGTTTGACCTTGGAATGCTGACTGTGAAGAAAGATCAATGGAAGCCTGTAATTTTACCAAAAAGTAATAACAGAAAGTGGGAAGTTTCATTCTTGGGACAATTTGAAAAGAATATTCTCCTCTTCAAGAAACACATACTCAATTATAGGAAAGGAGTTACAGACAAGGAAGGAGATTCTGACATTTAGGTCAGTTTGATGACTTAAAGATTGATAGGCACTTTTCTCAGAGCACTTTAAAGTTTAAATAAATGTGAATGTTAGAAGAGATTACAGTTATCTTCAATCATAAGACAGATGTAACCATTTTCTGAATCTATACTAGAAAGCATTGCCTTGTAATACATGATAGAGGATTTCAGAGGTGATGAATTGAGAAGAGCTTGGCTTTTTACTACAATTTTAACTTTACTCTTTAGGTAGAGAAATCACACTAAGTATAAAAAGGGAAAGTCATAGGCTCAAAGAACAAATTTTTTTTCACTCCCCTATGAGAAGTCTTCAATCCACACTTTGGTTATGTTGCTTTGAACTAGTTACTTGATAACAGCAAACAGATAAAGCCTGAAACAAAGATGATAACACAGCCCTTTAAAAAATATTTTAAAAATATATACATTATAAAAGTTAGCTCAAAATGGATCATGGACTTAAATTAAAAATATAAAACTATGCAACTCTAAAAAAAAATAAGAGAAAAACTTCAGGCTTGCAGCTATGTAAATCTTAGATTTGACACTGAAAGCATGATACACTCACACACACATGCACACACCAAACTGAATCAAAATTAAAAACCTTTCCTCTGTAAAAGACCCTGTTAAAAATATGAAATGATAAGTTACAGAACTGGAGGTGAAAGTGAAAGTTGCTCAGTCGTGTCCAACTCTTTGCGACCTCTTGGACTATACAGTCCATGGAATTCTCCAGGCCAGAATACTGGAATGGGTAGCCTTTCCCTTCTCCAGTGGATCTTCCAACCCAGGGATCGAACCTAGGTCTCCTGCATTGCAGGTGGATTCTTTACCAACTGAGCTATGAGGGAAGAAAATGGGCAACGGTTTTGAACAGGTGTTTTACCAAAGAGGGGATATACAGATTGCAAATTAGCACCTGAAGAGATGTTCAACAATATTAGCCATCAGAGAAGTGCAAATTAAAGCCACAATGAAGTATCACTATACAAATCTCAGTGGGGCTAAAATAAAAAATAGTGATAACACTAAATTCTGGCAAACATGTGGGAAAAACTCAAATCACTCACAAATTGCTGATGAAGGTCTAAAATGATATGGGCATTCTGGAAAATAGATTGGCAGTTTCTCATAAAACTAAACATGCAGTCACACATTTGGACACTTATTCTAAATAAATAAAAGATTTTATTTACATAAAAACTTGTACCTGAATATTCATAATGGCTTTATTCACAGCAGCCAAAATATGGAAACAACTGTGTCCCTCAGTGGGTTACTGGTTAAACAAACTGTGAAACATCTACACCATGGAATACTCTTCAGAAATAAAAAAGACCAACAAGTTGGATACATACAGTAACTGGGATAGATCTCATGATTTTACTACTTACGCTAAGTGAAAAAAATCTCATTGGCTACTTCTATATAATTCCGTTTCTAGGACATTGTTGTTGTTTAGTCGATAAGTCAGGCCTGATTCCTTGCAATCCCATGGACTCCCACCAGGCTTCTCTCTCCATGAGATTTCCCAGGCAAGAATACTGGAGTGGGTGCCATTTCTTTCTCCAGAGACTCTTCCTGACCCAAGGATTAAACCTGCATTTCCCGCAGGCAGATTCTTTTACCATTGAGCCACCAGGGAAGCCACTCTATGACATTCCTAAACCACAAAATTGTATGGATGAAGAACAGATGAGTGATTGTTTGGGGTTAATGATTAGGGAAGGGGGTCAGTGTGGCTACAAAGGTGTGCATGGCCTAGGGAAACCTTGTTATGATGAAACAGTTGTGCATCTTGGATGTGGTGATGAACCTATACATGTGATATACAGGAATACATGAATTTGTACATGTGTAAAATTGAATAGAGCTACACACACACACACACACACACACCTGCATGCAAAACTGAGGAAATCTAAAAATTGAAACGTGTAGACTTTATTAATGTCAATTTCCTGGTTTAGATACCATGGAGAAGACCGGGTAAAGAGTACACAGAGCCCCCTTGTACATTTTTGGAAACTTCCATGACTCTATAGTGATTTAAAATTAAAAGTATTTAAAAAATGACATGCAATTTTCATAAAGTTCACAACTGTAAATCATCTCTTGAGCTTCGTTACACATCGCTCATCCAGCTCCTGGATTCATTTAGTGTCTGTTCTACAAAGAGTGCCTGCATTTATCTTGCAGTTATCTTTCTCATCTTCTTTCTGAGATACACATTCAGAAACAAAGAAAAGCTGCTGTCTAAATATGATTGTAAAAGAGCTTGCTAAGTGTGGTTAAAATGAATTATATCAAAGGATGCTAAAATGGATATGTTAGTTCAACGACTTTTAAATCACTGAGAAATTACCAAATTTTCAAATAAAAAGTCCAAGAACAAGAAACTCCAAACACTGTTAATGTAAGAACTTCTGTGCTGCTTATTCTTTCTTGTCACTGAGTGGGTAAAGGATAAAGTGACATCAAAACAGTGCAGCTGAGAGCTGATGCTCTTTTTCCGCATTGAAGCTAATGGGGTTGGGGCAGAGTGTGCTGTTCAGACAAGTCTTAAGAGAGCTCCTATAAACAGTGGTCAACTCCACAACATAGACACATGTTCAATGACAAAATCCAATGGGGTGTCATAGAACCAAGCAAATTAAGCAAGGCTAGTTTTGCTATACTTATCTTCTGCTACCCACTCTGCCCTGTGACTTTCTGACCTGTTTGATGTCTATATTGGAGAGCTCTTCTTTCCCTCTGCCATGATCACCCATTCTGTCCTCCTAAGATCTATCAAGTTCTTGACCCTGAGTTGTAGTTATGCTTGGTCCCTTCAGGGACCAAGTCATAAAATTATTTGAAGAAATGGATTTCTTAACTTATATTCCCAATTCTTTGTCAAAGAGGTTTCCAGACAGATGCACAACTATTCTATCCCTCTGCTTTTCTCAGGACTCTGGTCTCTTTGAGGTCTCCCCTGCTGAGACTCCTGTGTACCATAGAAGGAAACACAGTCCATTACACCAATACCACTGCTGCTAAGTCCCTTCAGTCATGTCTGACTCTGTGCAACCCCATGGACTGTAGCCTGCCAAGTTCCTCTGTCCATGGGATTCTCCAGGCAAGAGTACTGGAGTGGACAGCCATGTCCTCCTCCAGGGCACCTTTCCTACCCGGGATTGAACCCATGTCTCTTACATCTCTTGCACTGGCAGATGGGTTCTTTACCAGTAGTGCCAGTTAAGAAGCCCCATTACACTGATGCTTGGGCTCATCTCCTACAGCCCTTGGTAGCAGTTTACCTTTAAAGTACATTCAAGGAACAATGACATGATTAAAATTGCAGGCAGAAAAGGCTTTTCTGATTACTTTAGACCTCCTATGTACTGTGCCCACCAACATAAAAGATGTCCTTCCCTCAATATTTGTCTTTGTAGGTGGCATAGTTGTCCAGTGAGATGTTTGTGTTTGTGACCACCAGGGGGAAGTGATTCCATTCCTTTCATTTTTCCAGTGTCTTAAAAGTCAAAAGCATGAAGCTACTAGAGGATTTGCTCGTGATTGGCTGAGCCCAGCAGAAAGGCTCTCCTGTGTGTTGGAGAAGAACTAAGACACAGGAGCAGCTCCTCAGGGGAGAAGATTTGGAATCATTAAAATTGCATCAAGAGTGAGGTGGCAGGATGGAGAACATGCTGAAATGTGCATTCATAGTCTTGTGGGTTCAGCTTGGATGTAAGTTGCCGGTTAAGAGGTGAGAACTTACGGGCACATTTTTCCAAAGACGGGGAGGAGAGAGAGAGGAGTTTAGACACTGCTCATCCTAGGCTTTGTGTTGGGATTTTAAGCACTGCTGAACTGAAAGCTTTGTGTTGTTTCTGACTTTGTTCTCCTGAACAGGGCTGCGTGGAGAAGACCGAGTGGAGCAGAGTCCTCAGACCCTGAGAACCCAGGAGGGGGACAGTCTCAGTCTCAACTGCAGCCGCACCGTCAGCAGCTTCAGAGGGCTACAGTGGTATAGACAAGATCCTGGGAAGGGCCCTGAACTCCTCTTCCTTCTTTACTCAGCTGGGGATGAAAAGCAGAAAGAAAGACTGAGAGCCACCTTGTTAAAGAAGGGAAGTTCTCTGCACATCGAAGCCCCCAAACCCGAAGACTCAGCCACTTACCTCTGCGCTGTGCAGACACAGTGCTCCCCAGGCACCTGCAGACTGTACCCAAACCCTGAAACTGCGGCTCTAGAATAAGGGTGTCTTTGCTGTTTTCCTGCCTCCTGAGCACCCAGGGCCTCTTTCCAAGTGGTCCTACGGAGAACGAACTCTTGTGATGCAGCCAGACAGAAGAGATTACTGAGCATTCTGTCCGGGATCCTAGACAGTCCCCCCGCTCCGGGTGTCCATGGATCAGTCTGCTCTTTTAAACAGCCCAGAGCTTCCCCCGTGTAGATTCGAAAGAGATAGTGGTGGTATTGGAGTCTTGGTTTCCAGTCTTGGGCCCCTTAAAAAGATGCCACAGGAATGCACCTTCTTCCCTGAAATAAATTTTTTGGCATTCTCTTATAATAATCTGGCCACATGTCTGTAAGAGAATCTTTCCCATTTTAATATATTCTCAAAGGTCATATCTCCACCAGCGCTATTACTACATTTTTTCTTCTCCTTAATAATCAAGTTAGTTGACTGTCTAGACTTACTGTCTCCATTTCCTCAAGTCCCAGTCCTCCTCTCCTTGAACCTGACTTCTGTGAGCATTACTCTGAGACAAGCTCTCACTTAAACCAGTGGCTTTGGTGGTGATAAAGCCAATGATTATTTTTCAACCTCATCTCATCTGAAATTCTCACTTTCTCATCCTTTTTAAAAATAAAATTTCTCTTTTTTAATCAAAATAATACTCTCATTTATTTACAAAATGAAATAGCACTCTTTTTCTTCCCACTCTTCCACATAGTCTATTTTTGCCTCACCAGAAGAACCATTTTTTATTCTCAGGTGATGACACTGACGTTTATCTCAATATTCAAAATGCTTCTTGGCTTTCTCTTCTCTCTCTCTCTCTCTGTAACTGAGGTACAACACATATAATAAAGTGTACAAAACGGAAGCTTAGAGCTCCATGAAATTTTACACTTGTTAATATCTACATGCATAGTGTATATTATCTCTGGTTTTCTTCACTCAATATCTTTGCAATTCACTGGTGTCATTTTGTGTATGTCTTGTTTGTTCTTTTTTTAATTGATGCGTAGAGTTCCTCTACAAGAATACCTAACAATTTAATTATCCATCCTCCCAGAAGTAGATATTTGGATTGTTTGGATTGATTAAAGTTTTGTGCTATTGTGAAAAAAGCTGTGTGTGAGGGAAAAAAACCAGGTTTTTTTTCCTTCTTGTGTAGGGGAAAACCCAGTTCTGCCCTATTATGTCCTTCTTTCCTATGAGTCTCCTTTACTACTCGCACAAAACATTTCTGGTCAACAAATGTGTTTTCTCCCATATCAAGCAATTCTCTGCAATCCCACCTGAGTATCCTATCATTCTAGTCAGTTCTGACAATTTCTACATGAAAAAAGCATGCCAGTCACAAGCCCAAGTGATCAACTGTGCTTCTGAACAAAAGACTGTAGATAGAAGATTCCCAAAACAAGATAAAACAAAACAAAAACCCTGGGCTCAATTAATTTGCTAGAGTGACTCATGGAAGTAGGAGAAATATTTCACTTACTTTTACCTTTTTATTATAAAAGGCTATGATAAAGGATGCAGATGAATATCCGGATGGAAGAGACGTGTAGGGTCAGGTTTGTGAGAGGAACTGTAGAGTTTCCATGTCCTCTCCAGGGGCCACTCACCTAGCACCTCTGTGTGTTCACTGATGGAAAGCTCTTCAGTAGGTCTGGGGTCTGGGCAGTGGTCCTACAAGATGACTCTCCAGCCCACTCGTTGTTCTGCATTTTCATTTTAACTGCACCCCACAAATGATGTAGCAAGTCCTATTTAACTGGCTAAGATCACGTATAAAATGTTGAATAGAATTCTTCTTATTCCTAAACTCAGAGGTAAAGCATTCAATATTTCACTGTGCCTATTAATTATAGTGTTTTTGATAAATATACTTTATTTATTTAAATTGATTTTTAAATGTGAAACCAACTTTAATTTTTAGAGTTAAGTGCTTTTAGGAATGTTGTTTTGTCCTTTTTACATAATGAAACACTGATTTGCTTTTATTTTATTGAGCACTTTCCCCCCATTTTCCTGAATGATACTAGTATTCAACTTTTTCTTTTCTATGTTAATGTCAGATTTTGGTATCAAGATTGTAATGGTTCATTAGGTAACTTTCAATTTATGGCTTCTTTTCTACCTATAGAAGAATTTGTGTAGGGTTTTTAATGATTTAGAAACAATTTTCAGAAAGTTCACTATAGTGAGACCATGTAGCATAGCCTTATGGGAGAAACTTAATAATCCTGAAATTATGGATTCAGTTAGTTTAACAGATAAAGGGTTCTTTATATATTTATTTTTCTTTTATGATGGTTGATAAATTGTGTTTTTTTTCTGCTCATGTTTTATTGTTTGCTACCTTTACTTTTTTAATTTTAACTTGCTACTTTTTCTAGTTCTTTGAGTTGAAACTTTGCCTATTAACTCTCAACATTTCTTCTTTTCTGACAAATATAATTTAAATTCATAAATTTGTCTCTAATTACAAATATTCCTTGACTTAAAATGGTGTTATGTGCCAAAAAACTTGTCATAAGCTGATAATATCTTTAGTCAAAAGTTCATTTAATACACCTGAACTCTGAACATCATAGCTCAGCCTAGCCTACCTTAAACATGCTCAGAATGCTTATATTAGCCAACAGTTGGGCAAAATTATCTAATACAAAGCCTATCTTGTAATTTGATGCTGACTACCACATATAATTTATTTGGCACTGTACTGAAAATGAAAAACTGAGTGGTTGTCTAGGCTCAAAAGGGTTGTGTGTTGCTTGTTTGCCTTTGCAGTCGAGTAAGTGACTGGGAGCTGCAGCTCACTGCTGATGTTCAGCGTTAAAAGACAGTATCATACTAGCCCATGAAAAGATCAAAATTCAAAATTAGAAGTGCAGTTTCTACTGAATCCATATTATTTTTGTACCATTGTAAAGTTGGAAAACAATAAGTCAGGGACTTTCTGTACTGCTTTTGCTGCATGTTACATGTTTTGATATGTCATATATTCATTATTATTCAGCTAAAATATTTCCACTTGAAGCGGGGATTTAATATCCTATGGTGATATTGCCAGGGACCTAAGAATGGCCAAATCCTGCCCTGCTCACCACAGGGAAGATTCCTGAAGATGCTGTATATATTAGCTTAATACAGATAGAAAGTGAAGAATGACTTTTAGCTGACCCCTGGACCTAATTTCCTCCAGGACCTAATATCACTAGTCCTCTGATTACCTCTAGGAAAGGTGGGTTCGAGGTTCATGCCTAAATAGAGTGTCCTACTTCCCTCTCAATCCAGAATAGCAAGCTCAGAATTCCTATAAGGATGAGGTGGAAAGAGAGGACACACCTCAAACTGGCCAAGAGTTGATTTACTTTTCAGGCATCTGGGCTGAAATAGAAAGAAGAGGCTGCCCATCCCAGGGCACTAAATTAGCCCTCTATAGAAATGCATTTATCACAGGTAGGCAAAGACTTAAAAATGCAGGAGCTGTAAGCAGAATAAGTGGGCTCTGGAGTACTGTGTTTAAGTTAGACTGAGAGCTGATCTCCCGGGCTTCCCTGGTGGCTCAGATGGCAAAGAGTCCGCCTGCAGTGCAGGAGACACGGGGTCAACCCCTGGGCCAAGAAGATCCCCTGGAGATGGGATTGGCTGCTCACTCTAGTATGCTTGTTTGGAGAATTCCATAGACAGAGGAACCCAGCAGGATACTGGCCATGGGGTCACAAAAAGTTGGACATGAATGAGTGACTAGCAGTTTCACTTGTTTATTTCAAGCTCCTACTCATAAATGGACTCTGAATGACAGAATCAGCCCTCCTCACTCCTCCTTTGTGGGTAGATGAAGAAGGGGGTTTACAAAGAAGGAAAGAAGAAGTGGAAGCTTCCTGATTCAAGGAGAGAGACACAGGTATTCTTATCCATAACTCCTGGTTTTGTTCAGTTTTAATCTTTTGGGTTTTTAACTTTATAGTCTGCCCAATATCTTCAGTGGAATAGATCCGAGTATTATCATGAGATTGTTGTTTCTACCTGCTGTCTTTTTTTCATTCTCATCTTCAACACTAGCATCTTTATTATCATTTATTGAACGACTACCATATGCTGGGTCCATTGCTCAGCACTTTAGAGTCTCCTTCTGTAATCTAAAACCCACAAAGTAACATTAATCTATCCTCAAGTAAGGAAACTGAGCCTTAAACATGTTTAAAGATGAAGGGATTTCTGAGATAAATGCTGCAGGCAACATAAAATGAGAATTAAAAAATAAAAGCTCCAGAGTTAAACAGTTCAAAAATATTTCTGCTATATAGCAGAAAGTAACATAACATTGTAAATCAGCTATACTCCAACAAGAAGTAATCTAAAATGTAAACAACCAGTTTGAATAAGTCAAAAAAATCTTTGCAAGTCAGAAATAAGTCTACTTACTCTTTTGACACCTGTATAGTATATTATAATACAGATATATCATAACATATTGAGTATTTGTATTGAAGGATATTTAAATATCTTTGCTGCATACAATATGCAATTTTATAATGTATTGATAAGGCTATTTCTTAAAAAATTCTCAGACAAGTGGAATTTCTGGCCAATAATATGTGAATAGCACCTATGAATCTTATTTAGCTTATACTTCATTATAGGATGTGAAAGTGCCTATTTCCTGATTTATCACACACATTAAATGTGAATATTAATGATTCTTAACTCTTTTTGCAACCTGATGGCTGAGAAACGATAGAAAGGGATTTTCAAGAAAGTGTGAATTAAAGAAAATAATTCTTAAGGGCTGAAGTGGCAAGAGGAGGGAGCAGTTACAGGAATGTGAAGAGGTTCAGCTGCAGCTGTGCAGTAAAACTTACAATTTCTTCTTTTCTAACATAAGCATTTAGGCTTACATTTCTCTCTAGGTACCTGTGTGTATTAGTTACTCAGTAGTGTCTGAGTCTTTGTCACCCAGGTGGATTGTAGCTCACCAGGCTCCTCTCTCCATGGAATTTTCCAGGCAAGAA